AGAAGCAGCGCGTCGCTGCTGCCCTGCGAGACGTTGTCCTCCAGGTCGCTCTGGCAGCCCTCGTCGTTGAGCGAGTTCTGCTTGGTGACCTTGGGCGACAGCAGCTTGACCAGGTCGGTGAGCTGGAAGTACTCGGCCTCGCGCAGGAGCCGCTCCTTCTCGGGGAAGTGCTCCGGCAGCGCCAGCTGCTTGTCCCGCAGGTAATCCAGCACGTACCTGAAGAGGAAGCCGTCCCGGTCGATGAAGAAGCGCGCCCGGCTGTCCCTGGGCAGCTCGCCCCGGCGTCGGGCGCCGCCCCGGGGGCTGGAGGGCGAGAACATACTGGCCAGAGTGCTGTCCGGGACGCTGAGCAGCGTCGAGTGCTTGGTCACATAGACCTGGCCTCCCACGTTCAGCTCCACCACCTCGGGGAAGGGCGAGGGCGCGCAGGGCCCGGAGGCGGCGGCTGCCGACGCGCCGGGCGAGCTGGACGAGGAGACCATCTCGCTAATGGGTAGGATGGTGCTGCCGCCGCTGCCCGTGTCCTTCAAAGCCATGGTCCCCCCGCTGCCGGCCAAATGACCCTGGAGAGCAGCACTTTCTCCTTCCCGAAACCCGCGACCGACACTCCCGGAGGCCCCCGGCCTCAGCATGCGCCTGATGCGCCCTCGGGCCGGGCGGCACGTTCCTCCGGCCGGGGCGGCCGGGTTCAGGGCTCGGGGCAGCGGCGGCGGCGGCGGCGCCCGGGCTCCATCGGGGGAGCGCTGCGCGGGAGAGGAGCTCTGCGGGGCGCCGCGGTGGCGGTGGAGGCGCGAGGAAGAGCTGCCACTCCTCTGGGGCGACGGCGGGGAAGTGTGAGAGAGACTTGCTAGAGGCTCTTAGGCTGCCGCTCGGCTCTCCGCGGGGAGGGCGGGAGGAGGGGCCGGAGCAAAGAAAACTCGCCGCCCCAGTAGCTGGCGAGCGCGCCGCGAGCCCCGAGCGCGGACGGTGGCGCTAACTACTCCTCGCGGCCGGGGAGGCAGCATTGACGTCAAGCCCCAGACTGGGACCCGAGCCACAGCTGTCATTTAAAGAGATAGGCGCCAGCCTCTGGCTGCGGGGCTCCGACGCTAGGGGGCGGGGCCGAGGGCCGAGCCTGGAGGTGATGCTACTTGACAGCGAGCCTGGAGAAGCGGGCAGGGAACCAAAAACAAAACAGAAAAAAGGTCAGCATCTTTTCTTCATTCATTTCATTCCTCCTTCCGTCTGTCCATCCCTCCCTCCCTCCCTCATTCTGTTCGCTCTGTAAAACTATTTTTTTTACGCTTGCATTAAGTTGGGAAGTGGGGTGAAGGTATGGATTATAATAAAAATGCTAGGCTCCTAATCTGAAATTACTACAAATGTTGGCGTGAGAGCAGTGATTGCCAAAAGACTACGTGGGGGTAGCTCTCTTGTAGTGGTTTTATAAGTTTTTGAAATGAGGAGTGAAATGCCCCAACCTCTGTTACATTCAGATGTCATAACTTCATATTTAACTGCATGCACTACATACAGTTGAAGAATTTCTAAAACTGAAATATGGTGTCAGTTCACAAAACTAACAAAGGATTTATGTAATGTGACTGTGTTCTCCTTTCTTTCATCTGTTCAGTATTTGATTCATAGTAAATGCTTAGTAAATGTTTCGGGAGGAAGGGACAAATCCAGGGAGGAAACTTACTCCACTTGTTCCTAATTTCTGATCCTGATCGGTCCCTTCATTAATCTCTCCATTTCCCTTTCAACTCCATAGGGCGAGAGAAGAGGCTTATGTCTTCTAACCCCAAGAGTCCAGTAACAAAGGAAAATTATATGAATTTAAGCTCACTTTAATTTTCATTTGTACACAGCACAGGTACAGTCTGTAAGATAAGCATTATTTGTGATAAAGAGTGAGGAGAGAAATGCAAATGAGAAATCTTCCTTCTTGTGGCTATTCATCCTGAGGCATCCTTTTGTGTTCAGAAACATAAAGAATGATTGCTTTATAAAGTACAAACGTGAAAAGATTATACTTTGGCACAAGTAGTTTGCTTGAAAAATTATCATAGTATTATAGATGAGCTTTACCCATAAAATAATAAAAATAATATAAAATAATGTACGGATTTTAATGTCTTAAAAATTTGAATCCCTACTTAAGATTCCTTCTCATTGAATCCACCACAGAAAAGTACTGAATTTGAGATAACATAACCTAGAATTTTTTATAAATAATTAATTAATTATTTTAAGCATTACAGACTATATTTAATTCATTGATCCTTATAAACCACATCCCCAGAAAATGCTCTATCAGTTTTGAAGTTAGATTACCTGAGACTGAGAGAACCTAATGGACCAATGAAAGAACATAATGTATACATTTAAAACTGGGTCTGTATTATGCGTCTTTATGCAATCCTCTTATCCAAGCCTATTGCTTCCCCCCAAATTTATACACTGATCTAATTAAAAAGTAGAATTGATTTTAGCCTTTTTCACTTAAAAGTTAACATGAGAAAGGATCTGGAATTTGAAATAATGGTTCCTGAAACATTAGTTAGTTAGTTAATTAATTAATTAATTGTTCCTGGAAAATGAATTAATAGAAGCTCTATAACGTTTGTAGATGAATAAATAATAAAGCCTCAAACTACTACTAATGAAGCCCATTTATCAAGAGACAAAAGTCCCTAATGATAGGTTATAGACCACAGAATCATAATGAAGTGGATATATAATATATATGCATATGTATATATGAATACGAGGTCTCAAATATAATCAGGTTGAAATCCATTTTAATTTTTTAATTACATAAAATATGGTCGTAAGATGAAATGGTCTAAAATGTGTACTCTAGATGAATCATCTTAGAATTTCTTAATGAATTGCACTGTGATGTATTATTTTTCACATAATTCTTTTGACAATGATTGAACAGTTTTCCTTAATCTCTTCCATCTCCATAATTCTCTTACTCTTACCCTCCCCCCTCAATTATACCCTCCCACCAAACTCCAAACTGAACAAATTGCAGGTCCACAAAGTCTTTACCGATCAGTCTGTCTTTCTGCTAGGCATGCCTTTCCTTTTCCACCAGTTCCCTAATCCTTTGCCCCTGTTTAATGCTTCCCCGAGATTTCAGCTTAAATAGCACTTCCTCTAGAAATCTTTCAGATTTTTACCAAGTCAGGTGTTCCCATAGTAGCCTATGCTTACACAAGGGCAGGGTTTATCACGCTGATGTGTCACTGTTTCCCATCAGATCGTAAGTACGGCATACAACCACGTGCACTGTTCTGTCCCCAGCATTGTGCCTAGCCCGTTAAGAGACAGTTTCTATCTGTTGAATGTTCACTGCAAAAGAATATGTTCCTACCATGAGTGGATGACATAGCATCAGCTCTGTGCTAGACCCTGGGCTACGTGATGAGATTGCAGACATGAATAAGACTCAGTTCTTCACAATTAAAATCCAGAAAAGTAAGAACAGAATTTGATTAAAACAAACTCAGATCTAAAGGAGAAGGGAAAGCAAGAAACAGACATTCTCGGAGCAAGCATTTTGGTGAACTAAGGAATCAACACTAAATACTATTGTTAGGACCATCTTGCTCTAAGCCACAGACACCATCAGTGTTGCCTAGGCCAATCTGATCTCAAAGATGGGGTCCTTAAGATCTTGTGTTGCAGTGCACAGACAAGACACCAGACTTCTCTGACTACAGACTACACCAGAGCACCTCACATTCCCAGAAGTTTTAAAATAACACAATCAAAACTGTGTTTCTAAAAGCACAGCAAACTAACCAAAAAGGATAATCGGAGTCAAGATGATAATAATTTGTCATTTAAAATAACAAATTAACTATTTCTTTACTAAGTGGAGAGTTATACCTAAAGGCAGGAGATGTACCTTCTTTGATAGAAGAGGAAGAACACAGAAGGTAACAATGAGATTTAAAGTCAGGTAGAACTGGGTTAAAAATGGACCTTTGTCTCTTCCTGGCTTTGTAATTTGAGCAAGTTACTTAACTGCTCTGAACCTTAGTTTCCTTATGGGTACAGTGGAACTAATAAAGACCAGAGACTTCTCACTGTGATGATATGTCCAGTAACATAGCCGTTCAAGTTTGATGGAGTTCACTGTGTTTATTATGTCTGTTTCACACCATTGTTCTGAGGGATGAGAGCAGAGCCACACCCTAACTAGACATACCTGAGATCCCAAAGCAGATAACTGACTACAGTAGCTCTGTCTTTCTTCCAATTGTCTCACCCCATGGCCTGCAATAACACGGCCCCTCCATCCTGAACCTCCCCACACCACCTGCAATGTGTCCTTCCCTGTCTTTAGCCATTGCTGTTCCTCTCATTACACTTCATCGTCCTCAACGTTGGCATCATTGCATTGATTGAACTTACCTTGGTCCTGTTCTGTTCTTTTCTTTTTTTCAACTTTGTTCAGTCTTTTTACTATGATCTAATTATCCCTTTTAACTTGTTTGTATAGAAGGCCAAATGCACTTCTAATTTTCAGGAACCCATCTGGTATCTGTTTATCTTGTTCAAGGCAATTGAAAGTTTTACAGGAAAAAAAAAACAAACAACAATTCGACAAAACAATAACAACAACAACAACAAAAAAGCCATCAAGTACTTGTAATTCTAAGCAAAAAGCCTGAGATTCTTTCCTGTACCAAGAGCTTTGAAGTTTTTAGAGCAGTGATGTCCTATAAAAATATATGAACCACATATCTAATTTTAAATGTTCTAGTAACCACATTAAAAAAGGAAAAATAAAATAGGTGAAATTATTTTAATAATATCATTTATTTGGCCCAGTATATCCAAAATATTATCATTTCAATACATACTCATAAATAATATGTTAATAACATGATTTTTTTTTCCAATCTTGGGCTTCAAAATATGGTGTGTATTTTACACATATAACACATCTCATTTTGGACCAGCCATATTTCATGTGCTCAGTAGCCACGTGTGGCTAGTGGCTGCTGTGTTGTTCAGCAGAGCTCTAGAGCAATTGTGACTCTAATATATCTACCTATTCTGAGGATTAGGTAAGACAGCATGTCTTTTAAAAGATTTTATTACAGGACTTGTAATGAGAGGAATCTCACATTCAACACTTGATTAGAATTATTAACACATGGAATGGGGATCATGGAGCATCTCTCAGGACGAAAAAAGAGGAAAAGTTCTAAAAAGAAGAAAGACAATAATAGATATTCTATTAGTGGCAGAGTTGTGGTTTCCCCTTTACACCCATTACACCCCCATAAAGGTGAGATATGGGCAAGCTTTGCCACACACATCATTCTTGTGAGAAGCAGGCCAACCCAAGGGCCTATGGCCCCTGTAAGGTAAGAAATAAAAGGTCTTCTGCCAGAGCAGGGTCACCCTTGGTAGGAACAAGATAATATATAAGACAAGAAGGAGCATCTTCAAATGCAACAATTGCTGTAGAACCTGGGGAAAGTTAGAAAGCAGAGTATAAAAGCTAGCTCCCTGCAAAATCGCACCTATCAGTTTTGAGAATTTCAGTGATGCTATGAAGTGATAAACTTTGCAAATGAACTATTTAGGGAACCTAGACTATCAGTGTTTGATGCATTTGTTTTGTAGCACATTTCAGCAATTTAGATATCTTAATATAAAGTCATATGAGCCCTTGTTCTATATTACAAATTATAGAAGCACTATTAAAGGTTAGGGTGACAGTTGGTAAAATTCTATTCAATTAATACCCAAAGAAATTAATGAAATGACCGATAGATTATGATGCAGCATACCTAAGCACTCAATATAATGCCTGGCAAATAAAAAGTACTCAATAGATATTTATGAAAAAAAATCACTTGTAAGCCATTTTCATAGTAACATATCATGTAAAGGTCATGTTTTTGGCCGTGGCTATGTAATTTAATATCTAGTATGTGCATGGGATGTATGTGTTGGGGGTAGTTTAGCAACAGATGACCTAGTATTTCATC